TATAACATCACAAATACAAGCATCCCTGAGACAGAGTTTGAATTCTGTGTGAATTAATTCAAACCTGCTCCACACAGTCTGTAATTTAAGAAAGAAAACATTATTCATCCAAAACAGAAAACCTGCTGCTTTCCTGTCCTCCATCCCTAAAAAGACCATACGCCACTGCTACAATCACACATCTTTGTTTCACATCCACTTCAGCCTGTGTAATTTCCTGAACCGAGGATCTTGCTTAGTCAATTATATTGTTTATTTGCCTTCAATAATAGGCAGCCGTCCAAGACTGTGTAATTGATGGTGAGGAGGGACGGGATCTGTCAATGGTAAACCTGCGCATATAATTTATCTGAAAAAGCATTTGAAACGTATTAGACATTCGGATCACCATGCTTGTTGCCTCAGCATTGCTGGTGTGCAACAGCACCACAGAAATTGCAGTAGAGTTACAAAGAGTGTTTTGTCTCTGTCGACGGAAGTTCATGGCTTGCATGAATAAGTATAGTTCAGCAAGCACGCTCCAGATGAAAAGAGTCCGATAGGCAAGACAATGGGGGCCGCAGAGGGGGTTGTTGTTAAGCTAGGGGGTAGTTTGCTCTTTTAAAAAACAGCAGTCAAAAATCTAACTGCATATAATAATATAATATAATATAATATAATATAATATAATATAATATAGATTAAAAACAAACAAATTTGAAATGTTGCTCTGGCAATTAATTGAAAAATAATTTGACAAAAATCACTAAAACAAAAAAGCTAATTAAAATTAAAATATTTAAAAAATAATAAAAAGCACAAATATTTTTCAACTAAATAATTTAAAAAAAATGTAAAAAAATAAAACGAAAATATAAAAATACAAATTAATTCAAAATATGTATAAGGACTATATGCTGATGATACACGGGGCGACTTTTTGAGCAATGTTGCTGGGCAACTTTGGTTAATGTTGCCATCAACGGGCAACAAGGCGAGACACAGGGCCCATGACCGATCTAAAGTATCAAGACAGAAATTTGTTACCCATTCTCAGTGGGAAAGGGTCCAAGCAAAATTGCTCAAAAAGTTGCCCCATGTATCACCAGCCTAATAGTATAAAATTAATACTAAAATAACACTGATACTCTGTTCCTATTGGCTACCTTAATGCAGAAGACCTGCTCTAATTAAAATATTTAAAAATAATAAAAAGCACAAATATTTTTCAACTAAATAATTAAAAAAAAATTTAAAAAAATAAAACGAAAATATAAAAATACAAATTAATTCAAAATATGTATAAGGACTATATGCTGATGATACACGGGGCGACTTTTTGAGCAATGTTGCTGGGCAACTTTGGTTAATGTTGCCATCAACGGGCAACAAGGCGAGACACAGGGCCCATGACTGATCTAAAGTATCAAGACAGAAATTTGTTACCCATTCTCAGTGGGAAAGGGTCCAAGCAAAATTGCTCAAAAAGTTGCCCCATGTATCACCAGCCTAATAGTATAAAATTAATACTAAAATAACACTGATACTCTGTTCCTATTGGCTACCTTAATGCAGAAGACCTGCTCTCCCGGAGCCCCGTAAAGTTTACGGCCATTGAACACTGTGAACACATTCAGATCTTCCAGATCTCCAACGAACTGCAGGTGCCAAGGTTCCTACAAACACACATACGCATCCAGATTTTATATGTATGTTTATGTGTATATACACACTTTACACGTTGTGGGTGTGTGTGAATGTGTTTTTGTGTGTGGTACCTTTGATTGTCCTTTGTTAGAGCAGTACAATCCAGAGCGTCGTAAAACAAAATAGAGTTTCTTCCAGGACTTTTTACCGCCCTCTCTCACATGGAGAAAGCCTTGAATCTCTGGACAGGAGCCGCTCTTCACCATATTCTACAAGACAGACATGTACTAGTGTTATGAAGACACTGAAATTGCCATTTTTATGTTTTTTTTTAAAGCTGTAGATCATCATACCTGCACCAGCTCTGATGATGTCATGCCTTTAGTGACATCAGCGCTGTCAGAGATCATGTGCTCCGGGAAAAATAACTGCATAACGGGGGGTGGAAGAAACAAAATATTACTAAAAATGTCTACATTTGCTAGTTGTAACATCACTTAAGTTAAAAGGATTGTGAATGTGCTTGTGTTGTGTAGGAAGAAAAAATGTTCATACCACAGGTTTTTTGAAAAACTCGTACTTGGCGTAGTTTTTGCGGAAGATCAGCTTTGTGTCGCTCTCTACTGGCCAGGATGACTGAACCTTCACCACAAGCTCATGGTCTTCCAGACAGCGCTCTGAAAAAACAAAAAAAAACAAGTGCACAGTTTGAATGCAAATGCTACTACTCATACAGCACTTACCTACAGTCTTTAAACTAAACAGTTCGTAAAGGATGACATGATTTAAGCTTTTATTAAGAAGATACATATGGTTCATTTTTAAAATGAATCAAATTTCTTACTTTAAAACAATTAAAGTTTAAATTACTTACATTTTATTAAAGTTTTATTTCAATTAATTTAAAACAATATTTAATTTCATTTAAATTGAAACGGAATTAAAATAAAAATTTAAAAATTGAATTAAATTAAAAATTCGAATTAAATTTATCAATTTAAATAAAAAAATCAACTAAATTAAACTTTAAACCACATTTTATTAAAGTTTAAATAAATAAAAAATACATTTACTAAAATTTTACAAATTGAAAAACTGAATTTTAATTTTTTTTAATTTAAATAAATTTAATTTAATAAATTTAATTAAATTAAAAAATACAAATAATATTTAACATTTCAATTAAAAATTCTAAATTAAATTAAAATTCTCTAGGTTTAGTAAAACAATTATTTAAAAAAATGTTGCTAAATACTTTTTACTAATTAAGCTGTCATTCATCGAAACCAAAGGTTCATCCAATCCAGCACCTGTCAAAAGCACAACTAAAGCTACTGTAAAAGCCTGTATAACACGTTGGTTGTGTTCATTTCAATGCTATTTTCCACAACACCCCTGTGCATGACTTCTTTCAGCAAAGAATCACTTATCATAAAAGCACAATGAGACATGTCAGCTTTTGTCTTAGCATTATTTCTACGCAAACAAGGTGGCATTTGCGATGGAATTGAGTGGATTTTGTCCAAACAATGAGGCATGAATGTGCAATTACATTATCGAGTTTTCAAAAGCAAAAACACTAGATAGTAACTTGTTTTGCAGTGCAAAATCAAGTGCATGCAAACAACAAAGTGAATGCAAAGCAGCAACTCACTGTTTTCCAATACAAACCTTATTACTATCAGACTTCCTTTGTAGGTGAAGTATGTGATTTTACATCACATTATGAAAGGATTTGCATTGGAAGATGTAACTCACAGGAGAGTATTAGAAGTGTATCAGCAATTGCATTATGTCATTTTAGTGCCATAACACCAAGTCTTACCCAGGCCTAAAGCAGAATGATGTTCAATGAGAGCCCAGCTTTCCTCGTCCGTACAGTGTGCGTTCTGCGCTAACATATTACAGACATCATGCGCCGTCGTCCCGGACGTCACCAAAACCGACCGACTGTGTGTGGCGTCCCCAAAAACCCGAAGCACCTACGAAAACACACAAGAATCTGATTAAGATGCACGCAAATGCATGAGACTTTTCATGCTTGTTTTGTTTGTTTAAGGTCATGAACTTTTCTGAGTGCCAAAGAATGTGCTTGTGTTGTGTATTTTTATTGACAAGTCTATGAACTGAACGCCCTGTGATGTGTTTGTGTACATGCACACTTGTTTTTCCCCTGAGGATCACCTATTATAACTACTGTGAATTCACTGCGCCACAAGCAACTGTCGGTCATTTGTGTCAGAGCTTAAACCATCCAGGCACACTTACGTGTGTGCTGCTGTTGGAGGGGGGATCCCTCCTGCCGAGAGATCCGGTCGGCACCGGGGAGTGAGTCGGGCTGCAGAGCTCCGGAAACGGATTGGGAATCTGAGGTGCAGATGAAGCTCGAAACTCCCTTTTAGTTGGAATGCTAAAATCACAAGACAAGGAAGAATAAGAAGAACATGTCCACACATTTTGTTTCCGTAATCTTTCTGACATATTTCTGACTGAAACGGGATATTTAACAAGAATAAACGTGAGGCAGGATTTGATGAACATTTGCTAAAATTTATCAAATGAACACTAAAGATTTTTTATAACATGCATTAATAAATAAACCATCACACTAAGACCAACAATGTGTACTCATAGTAATCAGGGCTTTGAACTTAACTTGGAACAGTTTCTATAGTAAAATAAAATAAAATAGAATAAAATAACAAATTATGCATTTAAAATATAAATAACATCTGTTATAACATCTGAACAGTTTGAAGCTGTTTATACACTATTAGTATGGTTTAAAATAAAATAATTTATATTGAACTAAATAAAATTATACATTTAAAACATAATACAATTTTTAAATATAAATAACAGTTTAACTCAACTTGCAACTCTCTGAAGCTGTTTATACAATATTGCTATTGTTTAAATAAAATAAAATAAAATTCATACTGAATGAAAAAAATATGTATTTAAAAATATTAAAATAAATAACATCTTAAACATCTTTAAACTCAACTAGGAACTGTTTGAAGCTCTTTATATACTATTAGTATAGTTTAAAATAAAATAAAATTTATATTGAATTAAATAAAATTATATATTTAAAATATAATAAAATTTTTCAACAAATACCATCTTTAAACTCAACTTGCAACTGTCTGAAGCGGTTTATACAATATTGCTATTGTTTAAAATAAAATACAAAAATTTAATTATTTATACTGAATGAAAAAAATTATTTAAAATAAATAACATCTTCAAATATAAATAACATCTTAAACATCTTTAAATTCAATTTGGAACTCTTTGAAGCCGTTTACACACGGTTGCCATGGTTTAAAATAAAATAAAATTTATATTGAATTAAATAAAATTATATATTTAAAATATAATAACATTTTTAAACATAAATAACATCTTTAAACTCAACTTGCAACTGTCTGAAGCTGTTTATACAATATTGCTATTATTTAAAATAATAATAATAATAATAATAATAATTTATACTGAATGAAAAAAAAAAGTATTTAAAATAAATAACATCTTCAAATATAAATAACATCTTAAACATCTTTAAATTCAATTTGGAACTCTTTGAAGCCGTTTACACACGGTTGCTATGGTTTAAAATAAAATAAAATTTATATTGAATTAAATAAAATTATATATTTAAAATATAATAACATTTTTAAACATAAATAACATCTTTAAACTCAACTTGCAACTGTCTGAAGCTGTTTATACAATATTGCTATTATTTAAAATAATAATAATAATAATAATAATTTATACTGAATGAAAAAAAATGTATTTAAAATAAATAACATCTTCAAATATAAATAACATCTTAAACATCTTTAAATTCAATTTGGTACTCTTTGAAGCTGTTTACACTGTTGCTATGGTTTAAAATAAAATTAAACTAAATAAAAAATAATTATATTTCAAGAAATAAAATTATGTATATAAAATATAAATTAGAAAACACAACTACATCTTTAAACACAACTTGGAACTTTTTGAAGCTGGTTATACACAATTGCTATAGTTTAAAATAAAATAAAATAAATTTCATGAAATAAAACTGTGTGAAAAATATAAGTTAATTCATGTAAAAGAATTATGGCATTGCTAGCTTTTTTTTTTTTTACAGTTTGTATTTTAAGCAAATTTTCAACCACCAAGTGTCATGAGTTACCTGTGAGTGTTTCTGATGGTCAGAGGGATCGATCGAGGTGTTGACATCTGAAGGTTTTGGGAAGCTGGAGAACATTTCACAGAAACAGAATCTCTTCTGGACACGGTCTCAATCGTCGACCTCCTAAACACTTCCACCTCTGACCTGCAGCCTTTCACCTCCATCACTGCCGAGAGACACGAGACGAACGCTCCGTTTGGAAAATCAGACGTAAAAAATTATTTGACCACTTCCAGGTGTGACTCATATACCAAACTATTTGCTACTCTACACCATCCACGTGTCGCAACAATACTCAAAATTTGTACAAACAGTTTCCCTTCCCAAAAATAGATTTTACTCAACACGGCAGAACCTGATTTTCAGCCAAGAACAAAAAGAAAACAATGACGTGTGCCAAATCGGTGTAAGCGAGGCTTTCAGTCACACCTTTTGTTATTAATCTTTTATCCGCTGTTGCTAAAGGAAACAGAACTGTTGACTAGACACTCATATGTTGACTGCGTCTGATCGCACAAACGAAGAACTTGTGAACCAGGAAGCTGGCAGTGAAACTCAACCGTTCACCTCTTAAACCAACAAATGATAAACAAATGCATGTCAACACTTTTCAGCAAGTCTGTCTGCTAAACACACAAAGTGCTCTCGGGTTGAAAAGCAATCAACTAATCATACTTTCTAATATTTAACCACACAAACAAATAACACGCAGTCCCTTTCTTTTCTGTACCTAATGCACTTGACACACTATCTTGTACCTATCTTGTCACTCTCTGCAAATAAAGCTCTATTGTCCCTGTACAAGGCTGCGGGCACTACTTACATCAAATAACAAAGAGGGTAAACCACACAGACCACATTTTCATGCTCAAAGAGAAAATGCATTTGTGGGTTTCTCCTAAACATGCATCAAGAAACGACCAGTTCAGAGAGGCTGCAGGTTAAACACAAACCAAACGTGATGACAGTCAAACAGGTTGGAGAAATGAAAGTGCAAGCAGTTGTGCACCCGTCTCTTCGTCTTCTGCATGATAAGCTTGTGTTGATATGGTAGTCTTGAGAGAACAAGGTTTTGTTTACAGTAAAGGAACACCAGTCTCCTCTTGGCTTTTATTGAAATCCTCGTTTTGTGCTTTGAATTCGTGACCGGTGTTTTGTTTTGCACTTTCTGCATTCGTCACTTCTCCCAGGAGCTTATGCCTACGTCCTACGCCATCCGCTGGAACGCCTCTATCTCAAGAACGTGAGTATGACAGTTAGCGGAAGCTTGAGATTACGGTTTATAACGTTTTAAATATGGATATCTTAATCACACAAACACATCGATTCGCTTCAGAAGGCTTTTATTAACCCCCCC